GAGGAAGAATTAACTATAAATCGTGCCAATAAAATAAGAATTAATAAAAAGTAAAAAATATATAACACTCAAAAAAATTTTTAAAATTAAAATTCCTGTTCAAGGAAAAAAAGTCTGAATCTGCTTCAACGAATATTACTTCATGTTGTATAATAACAATTATTTTTAAGTAGAAATACCAGAAATAAACACAAAATTATAATTTGTTTTCTGAAGACTTAGCTTCTTTCAGAAGTTCAATATTAGAATAAATATCAAGACTTTAATTCACTTAAATAAAACCCAAAATATTCAAAGGCTGAGTATGTATATTTTTCAGTAAATTAATTATTAGTAAAAGAATTCTAACAACGCATATGCTGCATTTTATTTTATTTTATGAACGAAAAATAATATTCAAATAAAAAGTACAGTGAAAAAAATATTAAACGATATCAAATTAAAATGTAAAAAAAAAAATAATAATAACTATAATCTTTTGAAAATAATGAATTTTTTTAATATAACATAAATAATTCCTGAATGTATCATATAATTTTTATTCGTAGATTTAATTAAATGAACTTATATTCTAACTCTTCATCACATGAAAAACTAAAAATTTATCCCCCAAACAATAGAAACTTCGCCATTTTGTGCCGGAAATGAGGAATAAGCTTACATTTATATTTATAACTCAGGTTAAGGGAAGTAGTAAGTTCAACAGAAGTTTCAATCAAATATGCTTTTGAAGCATATATTATACTTTATTAGAATACATATAATAATATTTATACATATTTCCAAATATTATGCTTTTGAATAATTATTTTTAAATTATCTACATCTTTGTTTTGGGAATTGTGAAAAAAATTTTCAAGATAACAAAACTTTTTTCATTATATATTAATTATTTATTTTCTCTTCTTACATAAAAAAAAAATATTTAAAAACGAACGAGCAAAATATATAAAATGTTTGTTTATATTACATGTAATACATCAAATTGATGACTTAATTAAGTTTTATCATGAAATATTTTTATTAAATTCAATGTTTACAAGTGCTTTTATATAAATATGCATTAACTTTTATACAAATGTTTTTTCATTTCTAATAATATACAAACAAACCCCTGAAAAAACAGAGCTCAACAAATGAATAAACCGTTATATACCGTCAATTCTCACATTTTCATAAACAGAGAAATATTTAAATGAATTCTCTCTATTTTTAAAAAAACAGTACTTATATATTTTTTTCAACAAAATGAAAAAAAAAACCCCTTAAAAATATTATTGTGGATTTTTTTCATCTAAAAAAATGTTATTGTAAAGAAACAAATAAGATGCAAAAAATAACAATAACATATGCGCGTCTATATAAAACAAGTTTTATGTGCTTATTACTCTATTAAAAAGTTAACTTTCTTAAAAGAATCTATATAGAGAGGGGAATATCCATGTTTTTATTAAATCTAATTTCGAATGCCATATTATAAACTACTATTTTTAAATTTAAGAAAAAAGAAAAGAAACTCAAAGTGTTTTATTTAAAAAAATAATTGATGTATAAAAGATTGAAAACAATAGAATTGAAGAATCCACTAATACTTTTTTTAAAAGAAGAAATTTAAATTTTATAACAAAAAATATATCAATTCTAAAAAATTTATAAGATATTAAATATTAATGCAATTAATGTTTCTTCACATTATAATTTTGTTTAAAAAAAACTAGACTTGAAAATATCATCAAACACGCATTCTCTTTTATTTAATTCTTTTTTTTCCCATCAAATTTAACCAGAAAATGATCACGCAGACAAGTTAACTGCAACTCAACCGATAAAGATATGAGATTAGTAATAATACTATATAAGAGATCCGAAATCTCAAAACGAAATTGCTGACTTACCAAGTACTTGACTTCAGCTAAGAAAGCCTCAATAAAGCTCAAAGTTTTATGTTTTTAAAAAAAATTGAGACACACCGAAACGAACACTGGGATCGAAAAGGCACAACACAAACAAGGCGTGTAAAAATCTACGAAACGTCGCTAAAAATGAATATTTTCTTACGCAGAAAAGCAAGCTACCGACATCAATTCACGTGTGCAAATGTGATTATAGCAAGAGCGAATCGCGTTTTCCGCAATTATTTACATGAAAGATGAGTCAAAAGAAATAAATTACACTAGAGAGAAATAATAGAAAGTCGTAAAATCACCCAACAAAACCAGCACGGATGGAGCACTATAAAAAAAACGGAGGAGGAGGCGGGTACGACTGCTGAACGCAGGTGAGAGCGAATGTCCGTTCTTTTCTCCACCCCTTTTTTTTTATTTATTTCTTTTTTCATCGAAACGCATGTATAAAAATTATATTAAATGAACCGGTCACTTTTTTAAGAAGTTAACATTCATAACGAAGTGAAGTGGATAAACAAGAGCTATGGACCGACACCATCTGAATTTTTATTTGTAGTGGAAAAGCGAATATGAACGCTACCATTGGACACGCTTCGTTAATAGCTGGTAGAGGGAGGATCAAGAAATACAACGGATATTAAACCTTGCAAACGCGCATCACAGAAGCCGTTTCTTCGGTGACACCATCGTTAGCACAGAGGCCGATTCTGATTAAACATTTTTTAAAAACAGATACTTTCAGCGAAACTATTTACATCATAGTTGTTTGTAATGTCCGAATTGTTTGAAATGTGAAGGTATTATCGCTGATTATCAAGTTTCAAGAATATTTTAAATCATTGGTCGCCAAACTTAATGAAGTTTCTGAGCTACCATACTATTTTTAAATCCAACTGTAAGCTACAAAACAAAAGAAACATCAATTTAAAAAAAAAATCTTACATTTGTTTATTGCCCATAAACTTGCATAGAGATTTAGATTTTATCAAATTAGAAAATAGATTTTGTCAGACATTGTTGTTTTTGTCGAGTGTTTCATCATGGGATACATACGAAAGATAGACGAACAGAAACATACAATAAAATCACAGAAGAATATAGACTTTTTTGTTACAAACAATGATCCCAGCATAGAACAGAAGGGATTGTTACTTTTGAGATAAATAAAGGTGTTAATAAATAAGTAAAGGTTTAATTATTTAAATTAATAAATAATTAAATTTATTTACCTTACAGGTATTAATTACAGTATATAACACTCTGAAATTATTAAAGGGGGTCCGGCACATCCATAGGAGCCATGTTAAATTGCGTAAGTTTATGTACCTTTTTCTCAGAAACTACTATTTCTCATCAATAAAATTTTTACAGTAGGTTATGCATACTATCGATAAAGCTTTAACGGAGGGTCTTTTCTTTTTATTAAAAGTTAAAGTAATTATGAATTTTTAAAAAAAAAATCGAATTTTTTTACCTAAAATTTAGTTTAAAAAAGCCTTATCTAAAAACGTTTGCTAGATATATCTAATTCCCTCCATTAAAATGTGTAAACTTGTTAAAAGTATGCTCACTGAAAATTTCAGGATTATATAATAAGTGGTTTTTGAGGAAAAAGGTACATAAAGTGGAAAATATTACATTTTGAAAAAACAGGTTTTAAAGTAAAAATTTGTCATTTTTGAGCATTTACTGTTTTTGAGTACTTTCCAGAAGCATATGAAGCATTTTCTTTACACTCTGCTTCTACAAAAAACTCTTTTAATTTTTTTTTTTTTTTCTTCATTATTTTTAACAATTTAACCTTTTTTTGGATCTCAAGATGCTTTCGTTGGGCTACACGAATACTACGTGCATCTAATTTTTTGAAGCATGACACACAGTTATAACCTGGTTCAATACCCAAATGTTTTAAGATAATTAACTTTGCTACATGACCCATATTGAACTATGCAATAACCATATTTACCCTTAATTTTAGAGTTTTAAACTCTACAAATGTAGATTTTGGAATCACTGACTTATGGTGTGATAAACTGACTCATTGAGGCTTCTAAGTCTTTCCGTGCAGACATTTTTTTTAATAACATAGGATCTCCTAGATTTCTAAAAATTGGTTTCATTTAATTCATTATGGTATATGTCATGTGTGTATGTGTTTATGATCATAGTGCCTTTCGTTACATTCAGTTTCTGCCTTTTGAAACGCACCATGAATATATAACCGAAGGAAAGTAAACAGCACTAAAAGCAGTTTTCCTGCTGTGTAGATAATCAATATTAATTCTAAAAGCCATACTAAGTATTTTAGTATCTTAGAATTTTTTATATTAAAATATCGGTAAGTCGGTTACGACCATTTAGGTTTTTTCCATTACTTAACTTTTTTCTTCTGTTTTTCCATTTAAGATCCAATAAACGTGTACCCGCTTTTCGATGCCCTAAAACAAAAAATTTTCTACTTGAATATCATATAGCTCCGCGCTCATCGGAAACTTATTCTTGGGAAAATATAGGTACTCCTAGCAGAGATCATTCGATGCGCATCAAGGAGTAGCTTTATTTAAAAATTAAATAAAAAATACTTCTAATTATCGTATTTCCTTGTACCATATATCATTTTAAGCAGAAATATTTGAATTTTTAAAAAATCTAAAAACATGAAAATCGATAATTTTTTGAAAATTCATGTACCGGACCTTCTTAAATTATTGTTTAGAATTATTAGAGTCCAAGTTTTGTTGTTTGTGAGAGAGGAGGTACGTCTCGACTCTACGAAAGTTTTCAACCATCTCTCTCTCTCTCTGCCCTTTCTAGGATTTTTTGGATCATTCCGATCGGTTCCCTTCATCCTCGAGTAGCTTCCGGTTCGTGGGTGGAATAGGGGGTTCCTCGTGGTGTCAAAGGTTGCCGGGGCGATGTCCAAAACCACGCAATATTTTAAGGGTGCAGATGTCATTGGACGTAGTGATCATATCCACAATGAAGTAGGTTCACAGCTGAGTGGCGGGAATCGTCACAGGGCGCGCTGCTTTCCATTAGAGACGAAATCCATTTGAGGCGAAAGTCCGACTTCTTTCGCCGATGTTACATCCATGCCTTATTCGTGATTTGAACCCGAGCCTACTCGATTACAAGCCGAGTGTTATAACCCCTATACTGGGTAGGGCGGCTTCAGACAATAACTCTAATATTAAGGATAGGACACTCTTTGTAACGGGTTCTATTCGCGATTCTTAACTACTTCTCAAGGGTAATCACTTTCATGTCGTTAAATGACTATAAAACCGCTTTCTGTAAATAACCCGCGATTTAAGTTAATGAAAATGTTATTTAAAGTTAAGTGAAGTGGGGAGTTGGAGAGAGGTTGGCGATTATTGTTATGAGGAAGCTAAAGCATTTGGGATATAAAAGTTAAAACTACCGAGGTTCAAGTAAAGTTTGGGACGATTAGTGTTGCTGGTTCCAGAATTTTAGATAAGTATCGAATCAATCATAAAAGATATTTAAATTAATAATTAGTCTGACGTCTCCTTTAGCTTAGGTCGAATTTAGACAATGATTTGACATCATAATAAAAGTGTTTGTAATGTTAAAATGTCTCTTCCTATGATGCATTTTCACACTTTCAAGTGCGAAAGTTTACGACAACTTGTTTTTTCATGAACAAGTTTGTTAAAGTCGGGAAAGCAGGTATTGGTAATCATTCGAATACAGTTGTCCGATTGTTCATCAGTGAGTCAGTTTGTGAATATTTACTTTTAATTAATTTCGTACTGGGAAAAGAAATCTCACAGAGATGCAGAGCTGAACATCGCTCTCACTTTGAGACAAATGTGGACAAAAATTGGGTATTTTTCTTTAGGAACAAGAGATCAAATATTTTGACAGAGCGATTTCACAGATAAATAATTTTGAAAATCAGTCAGTTCAAACTCCACTGCAGCATTGTCTTCATGAAAATCAAAATTCTACATGACACAAATAGAGAGCTTTTCAGCATCAATCTCTATTAAATTCGATAGGTAAAACTGAGCAACAATTGAAATCTCGGAAGATTTTGTTATGTTCACTTCTCAAATCTGGAATAATTTCGAGTGGTGGCTCAATGGAAGAATCAAGGTTAGTCAACCGGAGCGTTAACGTGAGCCACTAGTAATTTGCGATCGATGGTTTGGCGATCACACTGTTTTAAATGATCGTTTTGATCAAGAGGCATAATGAGCATTAAAAACCGGAAAAGCGCATTATGTCAGTGATTTTAGATATTCTATCACAGGAAAATTAGTTAATTCTTATCACACACACACGGTTTAACAATGGTTCTGCCGTTTAGGCAGAGATTTATTGGAACATTCATCAGTTTTTCTCACATTTTTAAATTGTTTAATTTCAGTAGTTTGAACAGTCTATAAAGAAAGCATCTTAGGAGCTAATTACAGTTGCGTCTTTAGCAATTGTTCGATGCTCCTGTTTCTGAACAGTTTTCAATATAATTGGCGAATTTATAATTTTAAATTTTGAAACACTAATATTTGAGGTACAAGAACTACTGTAAATATTAATTTTCTTTTACTAACGATTTTTACCACAATTTACCAGAAAAATCATTTCTGAAGATGGTCATATTTCTGTAAATTCTTAAAGGAATCTGACGTGTTTGTGCTTGAAATATTTCTAACAAAATTGAAGCCTGTTAAGTTTTTCATACGGTTCCAACAATATTTAAATGTTCCAAAAACAACAACCATTAGAGAAGTATAAATAATTTTCGAATAATTTTGTTTGGTGCTTTTAACGTTATTGAATTCTCTTCAATAAAATTATCAAAAATAAGAAATTAATAAAACTTATGGCGTTGTAAAGCTAATCTTGGCCTAGCTGAAAAATAAATCAAAATTTCTTGAGTATTTTACCGATTTAAATTATTGTAAATACATACATACATACATACATATATGTATGTATATATATTTGAACTATTTTTAATAAAATCATTGTAAAAAAGTGATTCGCTTTAATTATAGTTAAAAATATCTCATTTGTTTGTTTATGAATAAGATAAAATTATAATAAGAAAAGTATTGATTATAACATTTTCTTTTTATGAAGGGGGGATAATATTCATTTACATTTTAAACAATTATTTCTCACTCTGAAAAATTTGAGCCATTTAAAACAGCATTAGAAGACAGGGAATTTTTTTTTTTTAAATAATCCAAGGAATAATTTTTTTAACCCGTTTCAGCGAAACTAGCCTCAGAAAATTAAGTTATTTTTAAAAGATTAAAAAAATTTGCCTTTTTTTAATGATTAAATATTATTCCACTTACGTTCTAAAACAGTATCTTAGGTATTTCGATATTTGAAGTATGATAGATGTGATTTATTAATGCTGTATATAAAGAAAAAAAATTCTCTCATATAGATGTTATATAATAAGCGGATACTAATTAGTAAAAACATATGTAGATCAGAAGAGTTCATACCAATAATAATATACACTAAACTTTAAGTCTTATAAATAAATTTACCTTAAAGTTTGGGAAAAAAATCTTATTTTTATTCGATACTTCTAATTTATCTAAACTAGAAACATTGAAAATGTACAAACTTGAAAACAAAAATGCTTTTTCATGAAATTTTTCTCCATTTTTCTGTTTTTCGTAGCAAGTAATACTAACATGTTATTTACTTCGAAACAATTATTATGCGATATTCAATACTACACGCAATTGTGAACCTGTGTGTCAGCTGGTTCTTTTCAGACATAAAAAATATACGTTTTCAAGAATTTCACTCTGAAAATAACAAGCGATAAGAAAATCTGCAAGATAAGGCTTGGAATTTATCTACTATTCTTGATAATTTAAGCAATAATAAACGAAAGAGAATCAATGAACTTCATTAGAATCTCCAAGCAGAAAAGTTGGTAACATTTTACAGAAATCTGTCAAGAGACATTTGTTTCATAAATTTTGTTTATCAAATGCATTCTTAGGATTAATACTACATCAACAAAATAGAAAACTTTAACCCTTATATGTCTTTTTTTCCTCTATATATATAACTCTCACTAAAATTTCTTTTTAGTAGAATTCGTATTAAATTTTAAATGCTAAAAAACTGTATATTTTAAATTTGATACCTCTTTATCAGAAAAACAAATAGAATCAAAATGTCTATCTTCTATTTGTTTTATTTTTAAGGTGCCATTAAGCGACAGAATTACGATAAAAACAGAAGTTTTTGCCAGAAGATATAAATGTTCTCTGTTAAAAATGCATTTTCGAAGATGGGCCAGATAAATTTATATTTTTCTCATTTTTGGAAATACTTTTTTCAACAAAGAATATTTATATCTACATCTACAAAAAAGTTTTGTATTCTACAATTATTTAATTTTATCCACCTAATAAGATTAGTTTAATTCTATAGTTATAGTCTTTTTCTTTATTTTTTTTTCAAATACACTAACACTAAAGTATATAGAAACTAGGACTAACTATTACTACTTATTTTTAAGTTTTATGATCCCTTCATAAAAATAAACTTTGAAGAAGAAAAAAAATTCATGGTGAGGAACAATAAAAATTGATTTACAAAAAAAAAAAAAAAAAAAAAAAAAAAAATTATACAAAAATTTAAAAATGTAAGGAACTATACATTCGTTTCTATATTAATCCATGATGAACTAACTCTCAAATAATTTAGAGCTAAACTGTATCAGTTTTTGAAAAATTCTTGCAGCTCCTTTCAATAAATGAATATTGCTTTGTGTATTAAAAATATTTTCGTTTTAATGTAATTTCTTTGTGTTAACTGAAATATTACCCTAATAAATTTCATGCAAAAATAATTTTTTTTTTTTTTTTTTTTTTTACTTATTTAAAAAGTTCATTTAAAACTGTACAGCCTACAACATTAATTAACATTTTTTTCACATACTGAACGTTTTATTGTCTATAAATAGATAATTTTTATCTTAGAATGCGACTGATATTGAATTGAATTCTAAGAAAATAAAAATATATTCAATGACAATTACGTCAATCTGGTTGGTTCACCTACCACTATTCCTTGTGAAGCGAATTTCTTTATATTTTATCCTCGAAGAATAAAATGATTTCAACAGACTGGTTTTCGCTTCAGTCATAAATCACCTGCAAGTCAACAAAACATCTGTCCCTTTTTACCAACAATAGCATTCATATAGAGCGCTTGTTTCTAAAAACAATCGTGTGATAGGATCACATCAAAGATATTCGCTTACGAAAAGCATTGTATTTTTGAGGCTCTTAAGTTATTAATAAATAACTTAAGACCGTCAAATAAATAATATGATATAAATAAATAGTTAATATAATAAAAATATTTTGAAACTTTTATAGCGATTCTAACAATTCGATAATTAATAATTGCATTGCCTTTTGAATATAATTATTAGAATTGGATTTTGCATGACAGCCATAATGGTCTTTTTTGAGTGAAAATTTTTATTGCGAAAACTCTACAAAGCAATAAAATTCAGTACAATTTCCTGGAATATTTTTTACTATTCATTTATTTACTTGAAATCGCAAGGTTTTATGTATAAGAGTACGCACACAAGAATTTTTCAAGGAAGGGGGCAGTGTCGCGAAAATCTACCATCCTCCCGTATCATATCCCAATACACCGCCAAACGTATTCTTTTGATTTTGTCGATTGTCGGGAACAAAAAAAAAGTAAAAAATAAACTACTAAATGAATAATTAGCATTACTTAATAAATAAATTATTAATAACAGTTAAATTTTAAGCACCATTCTATGGGGGAGGGGAAGGTCTGGACCCATGGACTCCCCTTGTGTGTACCACTGTGTATAAGACAACAAATATAGTTAGAATTTTGATAATAAAAAAAACGTTTCAGTTAAAATTAATCAAAATTCATTCTGAATTTAATAATAAAAAATACTGTCGATAATCAAAAGAATTTCTATATTTTTTATCACCTGTCAATTTGTCACAACTTAAATATTTAACTTCCCTTTAATAATCTAAAAATTAACAGGAAACGAGCAATATTTCCAAACTGAAAAAAAAAATTAAAAATCACATAAAATGCAAAATTACGCACACAACAAATATTTTCAAAAAATATCCCATGCCTATTTGAACATAACTGA